GGCGCCGCCGGGACGAGCACGGGCGCGCGGGCTCGGCCGGGCGCCGTCTGCCTCCCTCCGTCGCTCACTCGCTCTCCCGCCCGCAGTTCGTCCGCGGCTGGGCCCAGCTCTTCCCAGCGCTCTCGGGAAACGAACAGCGGGTGGAGGACGCCAAGTTCCCGCGGCAGCGGCGGATCGCGGCGGCTGCGCGGCAGCAGCTTCGACGGGACAGGGGCGCGCTCCGTGGCGGGGCGCTCGGTGGAGCGTGCGCGGCGGGGGGCGCCGGGGCCTTCAGCTCTCGGCCATCCAGAACCCTATGAGAGGCGTCCGCGAGGGGCTGGAGCTCCGAAGCCCGAGCGGCGCGCGGCGGAGGCGGAGGGCGGTGCTGCAGCTGCCAGGGCCCGAAAGCGACCGGCGGAAGGCGGCGGCGGCGGCGACGCGAACTTGAACTTGGCGTCGGGAGCGGACGCCCCGGACGCCCCACGCCGGGGCCGGGGCGTTGAGGGGCCTGGGCGGCAGCCTTGTCCCCCGAATGGCCGCGGCGGCGGACCAGGCTCCCGCGCCGCGGCCCTAGGCGGCCTGTCGCCATGGCCAAGTGGCTGAACAAGTACTTCAGCTTGGGCAACAGCAAGACCAAGAGTCCCCCGCAGCCGCCGAGGCCGGACTACCGCGAGCAGCGGCGCCGGGGCGAGAGGCCCTCGCAGCCCCCCCAGGCCGTGCCGCAGGCCTCCTCGGCGTCCTGCGGGCCGGCCTCCGCCTCCTGCTTCTCGGCCTCGTCGGGCTCCCTGCCCGACGACAGTGGCAGCACAAGTGACCTCATCCGCGCATACCGCGCGCAGAAGGAGCGCGACTTCGAGGACCCCTACAACGGGCCCGGCTCGTCGCTGCGCAAATTGCGCGCCATGTGCCGCCTGGACTACTGCGGCGGCGGGGAGCCCGGCGGGGGCCAGCGCGCCTTCTCTGCCTCGTCGGCGTCCGGCGCCGCGGGCTGCTGCTGCGCCTCCTCGGGAGCGGGCGCCGCCGCGTCCTCGTCCTCGTCGTCTGGCTCCCCACACCTCTACCGCAGCAGTAGCGAGCGGCGGCCCGCCACACCGGCCGAGGTGCGCTACATCTCCCCAAAGCACCGACTCATCAAAGTGGAGAGCGCGGCGACGGGCGGAGCCGGGGACCCCCCGGGAGGCGTCTGCTCCGGCGGCCGCACCTGGAGCCCGACAACCTGTGGGGGCAAAAAGCTGCTCAACAAGTGCGCGGCCTCTGGCGCGGAGGAGAGCGGAGCGGGCAAGAAGGACAAGGTAAGACGCTGCAAGGCCGAACTCCGGGGTCCCAAAGCCACTGCTGCGCGCCGAGAAACTGAGGCACCGCCGCCGGTCCCAGTCCTCCCCATCAACTTTGTCCTAGGCTCCTGCGGTTCAGGCTCCCGCACTGTTTCCTGATTCGGCCCTCTCGCGCGCGCATTCCGCCAGATGGTTGCCGCGACCCCGGCTCTTTGATTGCACCTCTCTAAACGCCCCCTTCCCGAGCCCACTGCCGGAACGAGCGCACCCCGCCTAGCTTTGCCCTCCCTTCCGGCTCCCCCCGTGAAGTCTCTAGAGCCGGAGCTGCTGGGGCCCAATAGACCCTTTACTGTTGTTTACCCTGGTGTCCCGTCGTGTTCTCCCTCCCAGACATATGTAAATTGAGGTCGGGAGCTGGGAAGGGACTCTCCCATCACTGTATTCCTGACCAGCTCTCCCAGGACCTGTCTGTGTAATGCTTCTAAACGCCCCACCCTACGTGCCAAGTTTCCAAATCCTTTTGTACTAGAGCACTGGGAACTCCCACGCAGGCGTTTTGGTCGAAATGTTCTTCCTCCCAGAGTACTCCTCACCAATCTGTCAGGTCCTACCCCCTCCAACTCCGGAGGGGGCGGCTGAAAGGAGACCCACCTCACCTTCTCCCCATAGTACAGGGGATGAGGGAGTTTTGTGGCAACACTCTGCCTAATATATCAGGCCATCTTGTCTTCCCCGGCTTCGAAGCAAGGGAGTTAATTACAGCCAGGCCCAGTCTTCTCCTCCCCTTCACACTCCCGGGCTGCCCTCCCTTCCCCCATAAAATAATACTTGTTCTGTCTACTTGTGGTCAGGCAGTGTTTTGATTAAATCTGAGGCCCAGTGGGATATCTCCATCCTTAGGGTAGGTTGCCCTACATTCTTCTCCCAAAGGTAAACTTTGGCCCAGTCTGATAGACATTGGATGTCCAAACAGGGAAATGTTCTCCTACCTGTCCGTTGGTGCTCGGCAAGGGATCTTTTTGTTTTATGGACAAGGACTAGGTGAATGCCCTTACTCCCCTCTCCCCTGCTCCATCTGACCAGGATGGATGGTGTGTGCAGTCTGAAGGAGTTCTGGGGCTCCCTGGATCAGTTTGGACATAAACCTTGGAAGTTTGTACTCTGGGCTTCTCAAGCATCCAGGATGCCACATTTGGATGGCAGTAAGCTGGGAGTGTCCCTGTAGCTACTCCGGTGCCAAGAGGGCAAGAGAGGAGATGCCCCTGATGAGAGCTGAGGGCTATTCAACTTGTGGTTGATGTGGCTGATGTTCTAGGAAAGACAAGGAGCCCCTGCAGCCTCTGATGGTTCAAGCTTGGCTTGGTGTGTGGACTGGGAGAACCTGGAGTTCTTGCATATGAAAGCTCTCCACAGAGATTTGCAGCCAGCTGCCCTGGACTCTTCCCCTTGTTGCCCAGGACCACCCCTGAGGGCCCAGACTCTTTGTCTTGCTGCTAGTGGTTCTGCCTGTTCACTAAAATCTTCTTTTGTGGCTTTCAAAACTTTAGTAAACATTTTTTCCCCAATTACAGTTAAGACTGTTTGAAATGCTAAGTAATCATGCTTTGTAGTTGGAATGTCAAGTGAGTCTAAGACTTGGCTTTATTCATCAACAGATATTTCCTGTGGGTCTTTTCCATATCCTCCCCTCCCAGGTGCTAGAGGTGGAGCCCTGTGTGGTGTAGTGATAGAGGCCATCCTGCCAGTGCTGTGGTCGGGCCTAGTGACCCCCTAGTCAGGGGTCAGGGAGGGTACTTCTGAGGCAGAACCATTGTTGAACAGGAGGAGGGTAGTGACCTTGGGTGGCTGAAGAAAAGACAGTGGTTTAGAGATCTGCATGGGTAAATACCCCTGTGACTGGAATTGAGAGGTTAGAGTTTGACAGGACTTAGAGGGGCAGGATGATCCAGGTAAGGGAAGGATCTTGTAAGCTGAGTGCCTGGGGGGTGGGTGTCAGTGAAGAGATTTAGCTGCTATAGATAGTTTTTTAGAAACTATCTCTCCGGGGCTATTTTTTTTCGGAGGACCTTGCAACTTTGACCTTTTAACAGTTGTCTCCCGAGACAAGGGACTGCAGTCACCAGATGTTCTTTCTACTAGGAGGAAAGAGACGGCAAGCCACTACCAGACAGGAGACCAACCAGCACAGCAGCGTTGAGGTTGCCTGGATAGCCGGCTGGTTTAAACACTGCAACTAAGCCATGCCGTTTGGTTAATTATTTTTTTTCCAAGACAAGGCTCAAAAAAGGCTGGCCTGGGACTCACTAATTGGCCAAAGATGAGCTTGAGTTTCTGATCTTCCTGCCTCTACTTCCCAAGTGCTGGGATTATAGCCTTATGTAGTGTTGGAGATTAAACCCAGAGCTTTGTGCACGTAAAATAAGCACTCTACCACCAGTGCTGTTACATCCTCAGCCCCTACCTTGCAGCTTCTTTTAAAATTTTTTTTTATTTATTCTTTGACAATTTCATACAATGTACCTTGACCATATTCACCCCTAACATCCCCCTCCCATTCCCCCAGCCCATTCCTCTCCCACTTCATGCTTGTTTTCTCTCTCTCTCTCTCTCTCTCTCTCTCTCTCTCTCTCTCTCTCTCTCTTTCTCTTTAAATAACCCAGTGAGTTCAATTAGTGCTGTTTGCATGAGCAGCCTACTAGGGGCCACATCCCTGGAAGAAAAATAATTCCCCCTTCCCTAGCAGCCATCAGCTACCTGTAGCTCCTCAGCTAGGGGTGGAGCTTCATGAGCCCCTCTCCATGCATGTAGGATTATTGACTGGCCTACACTTGTACACGTCTTGAGCAGGTAGCTAACTGCTGTGTAGTCACTGGTGCAATGTCATGGCATGTCCAGGAGACAGCATTTCATAGTGTTCCTGGCCATTTTCCGACTCCTACATTTTTGGATTTTTTTGTTTGTTTTGTTTTTGGTCTTTTTGAGACAGGGTCTCCCTGTAACCCCATATGGTCCTGGATTTGCTTTGTAGACCAGGCTGGCCTCGAACTCACAGAGATCGCTTGCCTCTGCCTCCCAGGTGCTGGGATTAAAGGTGTGCACCACCATACCCAGCCTGACTCTTCTTCATCCCCTGAAACTTCTGATTCAACAGTTCTGGTTGGATCCTTGAGACTTTGCATTCTGACAAGTGTCTGGTCCTGGGGCTCCACTTTGAACACCTTGGTTTGCAATGATGGTTTTTTCTCCTAACTACTGAGTCTTCTGGCCAGGGCCACTGGATACATACTGCAGGTGCCCATCTCTGCCCTTGGTGTGTGGACATCTCTTGATACTGGGCCAGCACCTTTCCATCCATCAAGTGGTCAGAAGGCAGTCTGATTTTCACATTATTTTCAGCAGATAGCATTTGGAAAGACCAGGACTACTGTGACCCTAAACACCCCTAAGCCTGCCTTGGTCTCCACCCATTGCTCCAGGAAAACCCACTTAGCCTGGGGCAGCCCAGTTTCCTGTCAGTCATAGTCCTTAGGGAACTGGTGGAGACTGTTCAATGAATGCCCCCTGCAAGCCAGGCTCAGTGTTGAGCTTTTAGGCTCAGGCCTGAGTTGAGATCTTCTGTGGTATGGAATGGAGCTGTTGGTCAGTGGAGCCTTCCTGTGCTGCTCACACCTTGGTTTGCCTTTGGGGTCCCTATTCCTGCCCCTCAAGACCTGTGCCTCCTGCTGTTGTACACATAGGCATCCACCTGTTCTCTGGGTGAGTCCTGGTACCACGTCACCTGGCCACATCCCAATGCCACCACCATTTAGCCAACCAGTACATGCCAGGTATGAGAGTGAGATGAGTAGGGAAGGAGGCCAGTGAGGAGCGGGACTCTCTGGCCCGAGCTTCTGGGGAGATGATGTGTTTTTATCATTTTTTTCCCCAGTGTTTTTGTCTTGAGAATTTGGGAGGTCTTCATTTGGGAAGCATTTAATTAAGCTGAACGAGAGACAAGTGGAAATTGAGTGCAGGGGAAAGGATGACTGCAGGCTGCAGGGTGTCTTATGTGTCAGAGCCTACACGCAGTGGGCCTTGCCTGGAAATTAAGAGGTGTCATTGTGGGAGAGGTGGGGCAGGGTCATGATGTGAGAGGGGTTGGGGCCTCAGTTTGGGTTCCCCAGGTAAGTTCTTGCCCCGGGAGTCCTTGCAGACTGGTAAGCCATGGAAATGATAATGTACAGAGCCTTAGTTAAGGAGCAACTCAGGCCATATATAGCTAGCTGCCAAAATCTGGGGGACATGCCCTAGATGTTAGGGGCAATTGTAATATGGTGAGAGATGGCAAAGGCCTGAACTCCTGGGAGTGGATAAACGAAACTGCAATGGGTAGAACTAATATTCCTTCAAATTGTGCTATTAAAAAAAGATGACTGAAAAAAGGCCAGTTATTTCTCAGGTCTCCTTGGATGCAGCCAAACCGGTCTTATCCAGTCATATTTGCTGCTGGTCTTGTTTCCTTTGTCATAATTAAGTGGTGTTTCCAGCACAACTGAGAAAGTCAAGACGCATCATGACATCAGTTTTTCCAGATTTTAAATACATGCTAATGTGTACCAACACTTGGTAGTTGTCAGCATCCACAGAGTTGAGTTAAATAGCACATTTTCCATAGTTACAGAATAAATAATATCGTGTCTAACCTTTTTTTAAACATCTAGCAGTTTCTGAGTTCTCTGCTAGGCTGAGGGAATTCAGAGAGAAATAGATCGCTTTTCTAAGGAGGAAGCTTCTAGGTTTGCATCTGGATCCAGTGGACTGTCAGGCTCTGTAGGCTTATCCATCTGGGGCTTAAAAAGATTGGGGGTTGGGGACATGGATAGGGGAGGAGGTCTATCTAAATTTGATTAAAAACTATTGTATGAAATGCATAAAAACCTAATTAAAAAAAAGAAGGGGGTTTGGGGAGTCGGGTCAGTAAATACAGCTACTCTGGAACTTGGGGCAAGAGGATCATAAACTCAAGGCCTACCTGGGCT